TTATATTTTACATTTTATATGCTTGGCATGGTAGCTATTAAGAATGAAGACTGGCATTCGCACGGTTTCCTATTACTTTTTATTTTATATATAATTTGCATTGGATGCTTCCTTTTGCTTTTTTTATTTCTTTGTTGATTGTTTGCTTTGTAATTGTAGCCGTTGCTTCTCCATTTCACGTGGGGTGGCCTTCTATTTTTCTTTTTTGCTTCTTTTTGTTTTTATATAACAAAATGTTCACGTGGCTTCATCCCTTAAATTTGAGCACTGAGCATATGCATAAATTAAATTCTAATATTTTTGCCACTGTCCATACTGAAAGTCATTGAGTGACGCGTTTCACCTCTATTACAATATAAAAATATAAGGCTTATGGCAGCATGCAATAGAAATAGTAAGATAAATAATATTTTATTATAAATCACTAGGTTGTAGAAAAAGAGGTTATCTTTATCTCTTGCGAAAGCGGTCCACATAATCAAAATGTTTTTTTCATGCTTAAATGTTGAAATGGTTGTTTTGTTTTAACTCATCGGCCACTTTAGTGCTCGTGTTATTAATTTTGTTAATTTAGTCAATATGTTTGTATATTTTAGCAAATATGGTTTTTTCCGTCAAAATTCTATTAAAAATGAAGAAAAAAAATATAAATATCCAAATTCAAATAATAAAAACTTATTATTAAAAGTCATGTTCTTTCATTCTGTAGTAAAAGAAAGTTATTGAGTTAATTTCTTGCTGCAATTACCTTCCTTCTCCACCACCAGCACGCAACCCAGACCCACCTTTTCAACCCAATACAAGAAGACCATGTCAAATAAAGTAGGGCAAATATTTGGTTATGCTCAGATACGCTCATATTTGCTCATATTATTATTCTTCTCCAATATGGAGGTATTTATACAAGTACAAAGATGTGTTAACCCTAAACAAAATAGGAAATATATTTAAATTACAATAGGAAGTAAATCTCTATTATAATAGGACTAAATAATAATTGGTAAGTTACCAAAATTCTAATTAAATAAGGAACCAAAATCCTAACTAAATAAGGACTCGCCAACAGACCACCACCACCTGGACCTAGTAGCCCATTCCAACCTAGACTATCATCTCGGATTGACCAACGCCCAGACGAAGCAGAGTGCAAATCTTGTTGGGACAATCGAGCTCAAGGGTGGTCTTGGTGCGAAAACGACGAGGGTTCGAGTGGGCTATGGAATCTGCAGTGTGCATGTTGTTTGTGTGAATGTCGCTGACTTTTGCTACAACAAGGATGATGAACTGGCAGAGCCAAGAAGGCTGCAATGATTGGCTACGAAGTTCTTTGCAGTTTGCCGGAGAGGAAGGCACGAGAGAAAAAATGGTGGTTTAGGTGGGGTTGGGAGGTGGTTGGTTGAGGTCTGAAATTGGGGGAGGCAAATTTTGTTTTTTTTTTAATTAATTCCATTTTTAGATTGAATTTGAATATTTAATAATTAATTCCCTTTTTTAAATATTTTTTTTCTTCAGTTTTAACAGAATTTTGAAGGAAAGGATCAACTTTTGCTAATATATATAAACACACGGACTAAATTGGCTAAATTGATAATAGGAGAATTAAATTGGCAAATACAAGGATCATTTGAAATTTAAGCCTTCTTTTTATTTAATTAACCTGGTGCGTTCCACTCATCACCTCTGTCACAACTAGTTCCTATAAAAAATTTCAAAGAATATAAGTTATTTTAAGCTTTAGGTGCCTGAAAACCAAATAATTCAAAGATAAGAAAAATCTTGCGCAGGGTGAGTTGTGTTGAGCGAGTAGTTGTATGCCCTGTCTCATTCTCACTATAAAAATACACGGCTAACATTATAATATTGGCGCATGAAGTGGGTGCCGTACGTGTAGATTCATGCATTGTTTATTGCGAGCTGGCTGGTCCTGCAGCGATGGTGGTGGTCGACCTGTGTATTTGCAGAGAAAATCTTCCTTTCGCTGTGAGAAAGGTGATAGCGAGGGGTTATTTAGTTTCAACCCTTGCGGCATTGGTGGCAAAATTCATATGTTGTGCTTGTGACCACGATTGGTGAGCTGTGGGCAGAGCAAGTGAAGATGCTTTCACATAAGCTTTTGTATTCTGTCTCTTTTGCTTTTCGTTCATTTTTTATTTATCTGATAAGAAAAGGAGAATCATGGAGGACTAAAATATTGTTGGCAGATGGATATTTGATGTTGGGTATTTTGGTTTCTGTTTGAGTGATTCACTCTCTCTGATAGTTATATTGTTTTTCTAAATTTCCTTGGCATAAAGCCCCCAAGTCACTTGGGTCAGCAAATATGGTTGTATAGAATTTGGTTCTGTGTTTTTTCTCTTATTGTTCCAGGAAGAAAACTAAAATCAACAGCTCCTGGATGCTTGACTCGTTTTTTTTTTTTTGGCAGCTTGCTTGATTGAAAGAACTTTTTTTTTTTTAGCAATAAATACTGAATACAAAGAAAAATTCACGATTTCTTCTTTCCTGCTGCAGGAAGAACTTGAAGGCAACGGAAAACTTGCTTTGCATGAAGCCCAGAGTGGTGTAACTTACAAATCACAAAGTTTGTGATTGTGGAGGACCCACTCTAAGAATAATGGCCTAGTCCTTAGTAGAGTCGCCATTTATGCCAAGGTCTTTTTTGTTGAAAGATGCAATGGGCTTATTGGACTGATATAAGGTGGACTGAGCTCTCCTTTACTCTTTCTGAGTTTGCAGCACTAGGCCCCAAAGCACTCTGAAAGAGTTTAAGACTTAGGGAGTGATTTGGTTATCTTTAATGGCTCCTTGAAAGTTTTGATGTACAACAGGTACTAGAATGATTGTGCTTGATTTTGTTGTATTGGAAGTGCTTTTCTTGAAGTGAAATATGTGATGCAGGTAACGGAATTAATAGTGTGCTGGAGAAGATGCTAGAGGAGGTGGTCTCTGGTGAAGAGTAGCTACGTTGATACTGTACGCTTGGCATGAGCTTGCTTTTGTAAATCAATATGAAGCTTGGCTTGAGAGGCTTATGGTGTGGGTGAAAGGCTCCATAAGTTTAGTAAGAGAGAGTGCCTCTGCTGCTTGGGTTGGAATAAGATGTTGGAGGTGAGATGTAGGTGGTGTTTCTAGGAGTTGGGATGGTTTGGGATGGTTTTTCGTGTGATGTTCAGGGCTTGGAGTGGTGTTATGAAAGAAAAGAAGCATGATGGAGAAAGGCTTGGACTTTGTGTGTTTACGGCAGTGGGCAGATGAGCTTGCCTCCTGCCATTCTTCTTCCGGTTTCGGTTTGTATTGCAAGGAGGGATGAAGGTCTAATTATAGGCTGAAGAATGATTGTGTAAGGAAGGATCCGTGAGTGTACATTGCTCAACAGTTGGTTTCTCTATAAGTGTGCAGTAATTACTGTATGCACAGTAATGAAAGTGGGTTTGAGTTTTGGAAGAGGCTGGGAGTTCTCTCTCTGCTTACCCGTGTAATTAGGCTCAGGAAAGTGGGTATGAGTTTTGGTACTTTCAAGTAGCCCTAAAACTTCCATTGTCTGATCCTTCAACGGGCTTTATGAACACTTGTAACCATCCACACCACAATCCGCTCAACAAGTCCCAGGCATATATGTGACTTGAGTCCACTTAAACTTGTTGGGTGGTTTAGCATAGGAAAATGTATTATTTGTTTGGCAATGACATGTACACTATTTCTATATTTATTTAATGAATTAATTCCCAAAATACAGTTTGGATTAACACATGACCAACATTATATGTTATATTGAACTTTAAATATCATTGAGCTTCTCGTGACATTTTGGGCCCCAATAATAATCTATATAGAATTCTTGTTGGACATAGACTCTTATCTCCTTTTTAGCTTTTAATTATTATTTATTTAATAAACGTATTTGTCCTTTCACAATGAATTAATACTTGTGTTTTGAAAAAATTCTTAAATGAGTTGTTTTAAAATTTAACTATAAGGATATTTTACTTTACATATATAGATTAAAAATGTTTTTTTAATTCACCCACTAGAAATTGCCAAATTAGTATCCCCATGATAACAACAATACATACACGGCATGCATGCTTCTATAAGTTTTACTCCTTATTTTTCCATCAAGCTAGATCTTCCAATCCCTTGTCAACGGTGGAAACACTACTCTTGTTCCCAATGTTCGCATAATGATAAGAGACGTGATATTTGCATTTTAATGGACCAACCAATATGTATTTGTGAGTGAGAGTAGGAACTACCACATGTGCTCCAAAGTACGATCCATCCTATTGGGGCACTAAAATCATATAGCTAGGATCCGTATACTATTAGATTTGGTGCACAATTCATTAACCAAATGGTGATCACTCAAAACAAATGAGTCATATACGAACTCTATTAATATTAGGAAAAAGTTTGGCTCCGGTTCCTCCTCAAAATAAATAGAGTTTTGACACTTGGCAAATTCCTTTAATTTTTTTTTCTTTTGAATTCT